CACCCGGGCCGGAACAAGAAAAAAACGCAAGCCCAAGCAGCAAAGGACAAGGCGCCCACCACGGAGAACCCAAGCGGGGAAAGACGGGACAAGCGGAAAAGGGGAAGGCAAAAGAGGAGAAGAGGCGGCGGAGGAGGAGCGTGGAGGAGGAGGAGGTGGCGGAGGAGGAGGAGGAGGCGGCGGCGCGCGATTCTCTCGCACGCGAGCAGTCGCGGGCGGGCGTGGGCGGTGAGAGGCCGCGCCAGACCAAGGCCCTCGCTGGCGCCGAGAAGCCGCGCAAGAAGGCCAAGGAGCGGCGTGGCGATCCGAGCGGCGCGGCGGCGGCGGGAGCCAAGAAGCGGAAGAAGAAGAGGCCGGACCCCGCGGAGTAGTGAGCGGGGGACACGGAGAGTCTGGCGGTAGCCGGTACTAGGCGGAGAGGCACACGTGCGGGTCGGGTGGGCGGACCCGCGCGAATTCGAGGGGTGTCTCGTCGTTCCAACGCGAGCGAGTGTTTTTCTCTGCCTCGCCTGTTCCGGGCGACCTCAGATTTCGCGCCCAGTCTGACCGCAGACCGGATCGCATCTCGAGAACAAACATCTTTTTTAGATTTTACCCGCTGTGCGCGCTCTGTCCTGTACACGCTGTGACTCTGGGGGGGCGCGGGGGCCCCCGGAGGCACCGTGCGCCGCGCAGCAGAGAGTGCGGAAACGGGGCCCCGGCGCTCATACTCGCTCATACTACCAACTTCCCGAATGAGTACGGTTGAGTAGAGGGCAGATTTGGAGAGATCTCGAGGAGTGCCGATACAGATAGACCCTCCAACCATCAGAAACCTCCGACCTGATCAGTCGTACTGACCGCCGACAGATCACTCCAGACAGCAGACAGGCCGACGTCTGTACGCGGCCGGCCGGGCGAGAGGCTTGACACGATCCGACCCTGCGACCCTGACGCTGCTGGTCTAGCTATCAGACATGCACTGCTGACTGCTGCCACAATGTGCGACCTGTGCTGGCCCACTTGGCGGCCTTCCCGGTCAGTGGTGAGGCGCAGTTCAGAGCTGTCGATGGCGCGATGCCGCACTGGTCCCACATTGGTGACACGAGACCACCAAGTTTGCCGGTCCAAGAGAGAGGCACCGGCGCTGTCCTGAGAAGGTGCGTGGTCCCTCTTGACTGCCCATGCGCGCGAGGCTGTGTAGGCATAGCCTCGAGAGTGCCAGCAGCCAATCCGAGGCAGTTTGTGACGCGCATTTTGCGTCAGAAGCGTGCACACGATCGGGGGACGCGCGACCCACTTCGCCACAGAGACGGTCCCCCGCGCCTCGCCGCTCCGCGCTCGCTAACGCTATGACGGGGACACACCCCGCACCGTCCGCTGTGTCCCCGTCTTTGTCCGGAGTGAAAAGTCCAACGCGCTCGTCGGTGGCGGCTTCCCCCAATCAGCAATCTAGCCTACTGTGCGGCTGCCACAGCTGTGACAGCGATGGGTTCGCCCTCACTGGCCCTCAGTCACTTGTGCTGCGGCTTGTGAGTTGTGTGTGAGCGACACTGCTGGGTGAATGCCGGTAAGGGGGTCCCCCCCCCCCCCCCCCCACCCGCCCCCCCACCTCAGCTCCTTCCTCTTGGTCGCAGCACACCGCGCTTTGGCCCGCGCAGGGTTCGAGATTACACGAGCTTACACGACCTCACGAGCTTACACGAGATTGCCAGCTGGCCCGCGCAGGGTTCGGGTACGCCGTCGAAGGCAAGGCGTCCCGCTGCAAGCTCTTCAAGGGCCCCATCCTCTCGACGCTGCCCGTCGGCGGCGCGCGCTGCTACAAGAAGGCGTCAAAGACGGAGCTCGGGCCGCACAAAAAGCGGCTCTAGGAGGGGGGGCGTCGGACGGCGTCCCAATCCTAGCTCCTAGGGGGGCGGCGCCCTGCGGTGCTTTCGAGGAGGCCGATCGATGCGCGGCCCCGTTTACCCTCGAGGCCGATCGGTAGGCCGACGCGGACCGTAGCGCTAAGTGGTATGGAGCCCCATGTACGACACCCCAGGGTCGACGGCGCAACCGCAAATCGGAGAATGCAACGGGAATGAATCGTAACCCTCTTACTGTATCATGACGGATGGCATGTGCGCGCTCGGCGCGCAGCTCGGCGCGGGCTCGGATCGTTGGAATGCTGCGGAGATAGTAACTGTTCTCTGTGGTGCCCCCTTGGCACTTTACTGTACTCTCTGTCTCACACGAGACGCCGCGAGTCGGGCTGGCTGTCTCGGTGACTCGGTGTGTCTGAGAAGTCGTCCGGCGACCGGGCGACGGCTTCTCACCGAGACAGAAGGCCGATCAGGCTCGGAGGCTGTGTTACAGGCATAAAGCCGTGTATGTGCAGCCGAGATGTGGCATGTGTGCAGCCGAGATCGAAGATCGTGCAGCCGAGATCGTGTGCTGGTGTGCAGCCGAGATTCGACGAACCGGTTCGACATCGACTTCGAGAAACTCGTCTTACTCGAGAAAGTGCTCCACCAAAAGCCGCGGCGCGCGCGGCTTCTGGCGGGCTCCGTCTCTGATCTCAAATGGGTGCGCACACTGTGGTCAGATGTACAGAGTACAACACAACGATTCATCACCGGCCGCCTGCGCGCAAATTAAGACCAACCCCCGACCCCTCCGACGCGAGCCCCTCCCGGCCGTCCTCTCAAAAAAGAGCGTCAGAGAGCAACCAGCTCGCAACTCAAGAGCCCCCCCCCGCCTGCTCCGTGGAGGGGGCATAGGGGAGGGGTGGGGGGACGGGAGCGCTGGCTCGCGGCCTCAGACGACGCCGGCGAAAGTGCGCAGGGCGGCGACGTCGAGCTTGATGGGAGGGCCTATGGAGGACCACATGTGGGGAGCTGTGGGGGAGAGAGATGGGGAGATGGGCAGCTGATGGGGGGGGGGGGGGGGGAGACCCCTGGTGGACCAAAAAATCCCCCTCAAACAAAAATTGCCCTTTCAGCCCCAAGGGCGGTTTTTAAGACAAAAGGGGCGGAAAAGGGTCCCCCGTCCCCAAAGGCCGCCAAGGCTTGGGTGGAAGGGGCTTGGGTGGAAACCCCCGCCCCCATTTTGGGGCCTGCCCCAAAAGCCACCAAAAAAGGGGCCAGGGGGGGAGGCGAGGGCGTGAGGCGAGGGCGTGAGGCGCGGGCGGGAGAGCGGCTGTCACCTCGTCCGCCGCCGCTCCCTCCGCAAGCACAGCCACGCGCACGGACTTGCCAGTGCCGTGCGGAAGCGCGACCGTTGTCCGGATCTGGGAGGGAGAGGGAGCCGTGAGCACGAGGGCGCTACGCCGGCGCGAGGCGCTACGCCGGAGGCGGCGCGCCTGCTGGTCATTGTATTTGGGGTCGAGGTTGAGGTTGCCGTGGAGCTCGGCCGTCTCGGTGAACTTGGCCGTCGCCAGCTCCTTCATCAGCGCCACCGCCTCCTCCGGGCTGTACAGCTTCTCCTCCTCGACCTTGCCAGCGTTCTCCGATGCCCGGCGCGACGCCTTCATCGCCGGCGCCGCGGCTCGCGCCGCGTCAAGCTGCTGCTGCTGCTGCTGCTGCTGCACCAGGGGCGCGGCCACCGGCCCCCTCACCATCCAGCCCTGCACTGCAGACGCGAAGAGAACCAGCATGCCTGTCGTCGACTGAGCTCGCCAAGGCTCGCGCAGGCGATTTCTTTTTTATTCGTCTAACTCATGACCGGGCTCATCGTCGTCGCTCGTCGCCGCCGAACCGCGCTCCGCCCGCCGCCGCCACGCCACCACGTCGTCGAGCGAGCAGAGGCTGCCGCCGCACACCACCACCACGACCGAGCCGTGCTGCCGGAAGAGCTCCGGCCGAGTGTAGAGCGCCGCGAGGGCGACGGCGCACAGGGGTTCGACCATCACTCGCTCGTCGTCGAGAAACTCGCCCACCGCGGCGAGAGTCGCGCTGTCGCTCACGAGCAGCGAGCGCACGTCCAGCTCCGCGCTGCAGTCGAGGGCCGCCTGCGCGACTGCCCGCGTGCCGAGGTCGTGCCCGTCGGCGGAGTAGATGTGCGTCGGCGTCGGCGTCCGCCCGCTGGCCATCGCCCGGTCCAGCAGGTTGCAGCGCTCCGACTGGCACGCATACACTGGCACCGACCCCCAGCCCACTCTCTTGAGCCCTTCGCAGACGCCGCTCAGCAGCCCTCCTCCGCCCACCGAGAGGACGATGCAGCCGGGCGGCTCGCCGTTGCGGTCCTACATGCTGAGTACGCCGACGTGAGGGCGGGAAGACGGCATTGTGCAACGTATTGAGAGCACCGCGTGAGTACGACGGATAGGAAGACAGTGAGTACAGCTGAAGACACCGGAATACAGCGGAGTACGTGTCTCTCGAGTGCTGGTTGGGAGACAAGAATGCGTGTTCCGCTTCTAGGCTTGCGGGCGGAGAAGAGCTCCTCCACCAGGCTCGAGTGGCCGTCGACGATGAGAGGGTGGTCAAACATTGGCACGTACGCGGATGCGGGCTCGTCCCCGAGTGCGCGTGCGCGCGCGTCGGCGTCGTTCCACTCCTTCCCTTCCAGTAGCACCTCCGCGCCGAGCCTCCGGAAGCTCTCCAGCAGCCGGCAGCCGCGGTCGACGTCCGACGCGACAATCGTGGTGGCCACGCCGAGCGCCCGGCCAGCGACTGCGACAGCCATGCCCGCATTCGCGCAGGAGGACGAGACTAGGCACGTGACTCCCCGCTCACGCACGAGGTGCGTGCAGAGCCGGCCGATGCCACGCGCCTTGAAGGACCCGCCGGGCTGCAGCGCGTCCATCTTGAGGTAGACGGGGCCGCCGACGCGCTCGGAGAGCTTGCTCGACCGGAGGAGGGGTGTGTGGATGTGCACGTCCGGCACAGGAGCTTCTGCCGAGGAGGCGAGCGCGGCTGAGAGCGCGAGCAGCATATACACCTGTGTATGTTGGCCGCAAGCAAGAAGTGCTCGCCTCCCCCCCCGGGGGGGGGGGCCGCAGTCACTTGTACGTACGTCTCTCTCTCTCTCACTTGTACGTCTCTCTCTCTCTCACTTGTACGTACTTTTAGCTTTACTGGGAGAAAAGAGAGAGGGGGGTTGTGTTCTCTAGGCCCCTAAGGGCCCTACGCGCGGCGTGAGAGCTCGGAAGCGAGCTTTGCACGGCGATCGAGGATGGCACGGTTTACCCCCTTCACCGAAGCGATGGAGATGCGTTCCTCTCTCACTTGTACGTACTTATAGCTTACTGGGAGAAAAGAGAGAGGGGGGTTGTGTTCTCTAGGCCCCTAAGGGCCCTACGCGCGGCGTGAGAGCTCGGAAGCGAGCTTTGCACGGCGATCGAGGATGGCACGGTTTACCCCCTTCACCGAAGCGATGGAGATGCGTTCCGCGTGGTGTGACACAAATGAGAGGCGGGAGTGGGGAGGGTACGCGGTGCGGTCAACGCCCGAGCGTTTCTCACTTGTACGTACTTTTAGCTTACTGGGAGATGTTCGACAGAGTTTGAAAGATCTGTTTCTCCACGTCGCTCTTCACAGGAAAATCCTGTGAAGAGAAGCGGAGAAAAAATAGCACGCAGCCGGGTCCCGAAGGTGTCCCATCCCAAATTCGTGCCGTCGACAGACCAGATTCGTGGTCCCTTGGTCGACTACACCCGCCTTTGGACGGTAGCCCGACACAATACATTTGTCTGTCTTTTTGGATTTTTGGTTCGTCTGGGTAAGGGTTTTGCAAGAAACCTCCTCACCACTGCGAACACTGTCTTGCTCGTAGGAGCCGTTCGTCCTTTGTCCGAGCAAACGCGCGCCCGATATCACCCCGTTGAGCACGTGTGCAGGGTATCCGAGCGCCATGAACTCCCTGAGTTTGCTCGTCACGCTGAGCGCGAACCCCTCGTCATCGCTCGCCATAGCACTCACCTTGAGCAGGCATCCAACGACTATTCCCTCTTTCATCTTCGCGCATGTGAAGCTATCCCAGCGATGGTAGCGCCACACCCGAGGCTCTCTCTCGCAGCCCTCATTGACGTTCTTGAGTCTCGTCCGGAAACCTCCGTTCGCGTCGAGCTCGAGAGCCGTCTCTAAAAAATGAGCGTTATCGGCTGCCTCCAGCTTCAAAGGCGCCCAGTAGCACTCAGAACGACGGAAATCCTCCCGGAAACGATCGACATCCCATGCGCTATCGTCTTTGGTAGTCACCGTGATCACATCGTCCATGTAGCGCTTCATACGGAAACGCGCTTGCGCATCATCTTCGAGCGTTTGCATCCACTCGTGCTCCATCCACGCAAGAGTCCCTAGATCGCCAGTGGTGGCGATAGCGCACTCCCCATTGGAATTCCGCGGGCTTGTTTCAGCAAGCGTCCGTCATACGTAATGACATAGCAGTTATCCAGATCGAAATCGATTACCTCGAGCATCGTCGAGAAGTTAATCGACGCGTGTCCCCACACTTCCCCTTCTTGTGCCCACGTGTTTAAATATTATAACGCGCGAGACACATGAGCTTTATAGCCTTCGATGTTAATATGAAACAAACTCTGCGCCACTTTGGCGGCCTTGGCGAGGGCCGGTGAGGCGGCGCCCCGTGCGGCGCGTTCATCGCCCTCCACGCCGACCCCTGCGCGCACCGCGCTCATCTTCATCCCTCTTGGGGTTACTCTCGCGCTCACGCAGGACCCGGGGGACTCCCTTCCCCCCACCTCCGACGGGTTAGGTCGGTGCTGCGCCCCTTTGGCGCCTGTGTGCATTTCCCGCGTGCCCGCCTGCCAGGGCTGATGCCAAGGCCAACTCAACAACATGCCCGGCTGATGCCAAGGCCAAACCCACTGCCCGGCTGGTGCCAAGGCTCAATGACTCTCCTCTCCGTCTCTCCCCTACTCAGACAGGACTGATCCCCACGACACACGACGCACTCTCTCCTACTGTCCGACAGACGTTGCTCGACCGACAGGGGACGCCCTGACAGGACACTACTGAGACGACTACTCGTTATGACCCCCCCCAATGAACACACCAGTGAGGGTGGGCGAGACGATCTAGGGGTCCCGTACCATGCGGAATCGACCCTATCAAGTGCTCAAGTGCTCAACGACGACTACCTCTAAAAATTCTCTTTCAAAAATCGCGTTGGGCTGTTGAAACGGGTCCATCAGACTGTCTTTTGATGGCACCGGACATGGTGTAGTCAGTCAGTCATACATCAAAATCTTCATTTTCAGAGAGAGAGAGAGATGCATGTGGACAACACAAAAGGTAAGGTAAGGTAAGGTAGACTTCTCCACACACACGAGGTGGTGGGGCAAGGGGGGGCGACCCTCGCGTCTCCACGTCTAACGACAGGAGCCCCACGGCATTTAAAGTGCAAGGCCCGGTGCGCGTGGGTGAGCGGTGTGTGAGTGTGTGTGTGTGTGTGTGTGTGTGTGTGTGTGCAAGCGTGTTAGAGTTGTTTGGTATTGCTAAAAATCCTCTCTCTGCAACATACCCTCGAGGGTGAACTGTGACGAGGGAACTGCAGGTAGTGGGGAAGGCAGCTTCGATCGCCATCCAGACATGGGTACGAAACAACGACACGACCAAGGCACGGGCAGAGGAACGAGAGAAGAATATAGGGTGGATAAAGCGCCTGTTCACGACAAGACCAAGGCAAGGGCGGAGGGAAGAGCGAGAGAAGAACATAGGATGGATAGGGCGTCGCTGACCGGACTAAACCACAAGGTCGTCGCCATTCGAGGAGCCGCGGGTCTGCGTCATTCGAGCGAGAGTGGCGCGGAGCACGCGTGACTGAGCCGTCCGCTTGGTCGCTCCAAGCGCCTGTGCGAGCAGAGCGAGTGACACCTGGCGGTGCGGGTCCGCGTGGCAGCCGACGGCGAGGTCGTTGTACAGCCCATCGGCAATCAGGTCGCGCGGAGTCACCTCGAAAAAGTGGCCAAAGATGCAGCCGGCGCGCTCGACGTCGTTCTCGTGCGCCATGACGATCGGCAGCCTGGCCTCGCGCGCGGCGCGCACCTGCTCTGCGAGCGCCTCGGCGCCTTCGCCGGCCCACGTCGACCTGTTCAGGTAGAGCAGCATGTGCGTCGCCTCGTCGCCGTCGCTGTCGCTCGAGCGAGGCAGCGAGGAGAGGCGCGAGGGAATCGCGTCGGTGACAGAGATACCGCCAGCCACGGCCGCCGCGACCGCATCGGCGAGATCTCGCGCCCCGGCGTTCAAAGTCGAGGCCCAGAGAACCACCGGCTTGGGGAAGGCGAGGTCGACGGCTCGGACCTCGCCAGGGATGCACAGGGGCAGCTCGTTCTCGCCTGCGTACTTTGGCGTCTTCAGCAGCAGCGCCTCGGCGATGACCTTGAGCGAGATGTGCTGGAAGGCCTCGATCCGATGCCACACCGTCATCGGCCAGCCGGCGTCAAAGATGGCGGCCCGCAGCTCCTCGGGGCATTCGGATCGCAGCTCGGCGAGCGTGCCCCCGCCTTTGGCCGGGTCTGCCTCGTGGACGAGCACGAGCGGCTTGCCCATCTCCAGCGCCGCGCGGATCTCTCGCAAGCAGTTCGTCGAGCGCAAGTAGCCCCGCGACAGGAAGCAGAGCACCACCTGCGAGCGCCCAATGTACGCCTCCAGCTCTCCGATATTCTTGAGGTCGTCAACATCGAGGAAGATCTCGCAGCCAGGGAGGAACTGCAAGAGCTCATTCTTGATGACGGCGACGGCGTCCTACACAAGGAAAGGCAGGTGAGGTGCCTTTACCACACACGCAAAGCGGTGGGGCAAGGAAGTGGCAAACCTGCCCCGTGCTCCAAACGTGGCTGAGGAAGAGATGCCACTCCTGGCCGTCGGCGAGGGTGATGCCGTCACGCATCGGCTCGCGCTTCGACGAGACGAGCCGCATGGTCTTCGCCCTCGAGGCGCTGACCGCCGATACGAGGATGACGGCTAGCGAGACGGCGAGCATGACCGCGGTGAGGACGACGACAAAGGTGGTGGCGCCGCGTGAGGTCTTGTAGCCAACGAGGTCGTAGCACATGTCTTCGTACGCGGTGCTGTCGCACAGCTGCGGCGGAGGGGCGAGCGGGTGGTGTGAGGTTGCGCGGAGAGAGGGAGAGAGGGACGGCGAGGAAGACAAGTGCCATCGCGGACCTGGATGACCACTCCCGACGCGAAGCAGCAGGTGAGGAGCAAGTTGGCGATGCACGCGAGGCAGAGGTCGTCGGAGCGCCGGTAGGGGCGGGCGAGTGCTAAAAGGGTGAGAAACATGGCAGAGACAATGCCGGCGACCACGGTGCGCAGCAGCTTGCGGGAGCCATACTCCTGGTCGATGAAGAGCACCATCGAGGTGAGGAAGATCTTGCGGACCAGGTCGAGCACCTCCCAGAAGAGGAAGCCGGCGGAGTAGTCCCTCCAGAGGAAGCTCGTCGCACGAGAGAGCGGCGTTGCGCGCTGCGCAGCCACGGGCTTGCGGACGCGGAGCAGCAGCGCCAAGAAGCCGAGCGGCACGAGGACGGGCCAGAGGGCGAAGAAGGCCCAAAAGTACGGCGCGAGTCCGCTCGTCTCGTCGTCCCACGCCGGGCCGGCGTCGCACGTGAGCGACGGGTTGGCGAGCAGGTAGCTGATGCGCTGGCCTGTCGCGTCGTCGTAGCCAAAGGACTCGCACAGCCTTGCGCTGAAGATGGAGCGCGACACGGAGGGAAGCACGAGGTAGAAGATGAGGATCGCCCAGTAAAGGAGGCGGCCGAGCAGCTGACGGTCAAATGCCTGCCTCTGCTTGACATTGAGGACCGCCGCCACGGCCACAATGGCGAGCGACACGAAGGTGACAGCGCCGTACGGCCAGAGGCCCGCGACGAGCAGCCGCGTGCTCATGGCTCCGATGCAGCGGCCGGGGATGGCCACGTCGAACAGGTCCAGGCTGAACAGCTTGAGCACGTCGAGCCAGCGCGTAAAGTGCTCATCGAGGCGGACGCCGTAGACGAGGCCGAGGATGCTGCTCACTTGGTAGAAGCTGACGACGATCTTGAACTTGGGCTGCAGGCCGACCTCGGACTCGATGCGGGCGGCCCGCCTCCGGAGGCGGCGGGAGAAGGGGAGGCGACGGAGCCCAGCATAGGCGGCGGCGAGCACGGCGATGAGGATGACAAAGCCGAGGAAGACGCCGACGGAGCGAGCCGTCGAGGGGCAGGCGACGCAGCGCCCCTCGGCAGAGCTAAAGTAGTCCGAGTCCGCGACGCAGACCTCGCAGAGCGGGCCGGTGTGGCCGGCGGTGCAGTACGGGTCGTCATCACCGTCGGCGAGGCGGCGGCGGCGGGAGGGCTGGCCGGAGCCACCAGAGCACGTCTCTGAGTCACAGCGGTGAAGCTCCGAGGTTGTAGAAGAGGCGCGCCAGAAGCCGACGTCCACGCCGAGGGACGCGAGAGTGGTGCCGGCGCTGCATTTGGCGTGCGGCGGGCACGACTTGCAGTACTCGGTCGGATTCTGGAAGACGTCGGCCGGAAGGGCGCTCGCGTCCTTCAAGTAGAAGCCCTCCTTGCAGATGGAGCAGGTGACGTCGCCGCTGTCGGAGCCGGTAGGGTAAGGGCAGGGGGTGCACTGCGAGAGGCCCTCGCTCGCAGCGTATGCGCCCGCTTCGCACTCCTCGCACTCGGTGGAGGAGGCTGCGAAGCGTCCGATCGGACACAGCTCACACGCGGACATATTAGCCGAGGGGGCGATGCTGCCTGGAGCGCAAGGCGCTGGCTGCGCGGCGCCGCCGGCGCAGAAGCTGCCAGGCGCGCAACCGACGCAATCGTCGAGGCTCTCCAGCGTGGAGGACGCCTTCCCGTTGTAGAAGCCCGCGGGACAGGTCGCCGGCAGCTGAGCGCTGCTTCCCTTGGGACAGAACGTACCCAGCGCGCACTCGAGGCAGCCCGCGGCTCCGGAGTCCGGCTGGTACGTACCGAGGCTGCAGACGGTGCACTGGCCTTGAGCAGGCGTGGCTGCGGTTCCCGGAGAGCACACGGCAGGCGCGGCGCCGCCTCCCGCGCACGACGAGCCGGCGGGGCAGGCGAGGCACTCGGGGTCGCCGTCGGCGTCCGTCGCGTTGGCGTACGTGCCAGGCGAGCACTGCGCGTCCAGCTCGCGCGACGACCCCACCGGGCAAAACTTGCCAGCAGCGCAGCGGACGCAGGCGGCGGCGGCGGGCTCGCTCTGGTAGTAGCCCTGGCCGCACAGCTCGCAGGCCTCGCTGCGCGCCTTGGCGGCGAAGCTACCCTCGCGACACGGCGTCTGCTGCGTCGAGCCGGTGGTGGCAAAGTGGCCCGGCGAGGCGTCGACGCACTGCGAGGCGGCGGTGAGGTCCGTCTTGTCCGAGTAGGTACCCGCGTCGCAAGGCAGCGGCGCCGACGCGCCCTTGGCGCAGTAGCTGCCCTGCTCGCAGTCGCGGCAGGACGTCGCGCCCGTGTCGTTCTGATAACTGCCGGCAGGGCAGTCCGTGCACTCACTCAGCCCGGGCTTGCCGCCAAAAGTCCCAGCACGGCAGCTCGCGCACGTCTCGCTGCTGACTGCGCCGGCGATCGGGCTAGAGGTTCCGAGGGGGCACTGCTGGCAGGCGTCGGGTGAGCTGCTGCCAGTCTTCTCGTTGTAGCTTCCCGCAGGGCAAAGCGTGAAGCCGCCACCGCAGTCATCTGTAGCCTTGCAGTATCCACCCGCTTCACACGTGTCGCATGCCGTCTGTCCGCGCTCCGCCTGGAACTCGCCAGCAGGGCACTGCATGCACGCAGCCTGGCCGGTGAGGTTCTGGTACTGCCCTGCGGCACAGTCGAGGGGCTGGATGGTGCCTGTCTTCGGGCAGAAGCTTCCCGCGGGACAGTCGGTGCAGCTGGTGGCGTTGAGCTGATCGGCGAACGTGCCGGGAGGACACTCGTCGCAGGGACGGTCCGTGCCGGCTGTGGACTGGCTCGTCCCCGGAGAGCAAGGGAGGCACGACTCGGCACTGGCTGCGCCCGTCACGGGCATGTAGAAACCCGGAGCACACGGGAGCGGTTCCGCTGTGCCCTTGGGACAAAAGTGGCCTCGCTTACACGCACCATCGCAGGAGGAGTTGGTGAGGCCGCTCCTGTTCCCGTAGTAGCCAGCAGGGCAGAGGTTGCACTCGGGGACGCTGAAGTCGCCCTTAAAGGCGCCCTCGGTCGGCATCCAGCTGCCCAAGCGGCAGTCCCAGTCTATCGGCTTGTCGGTCTGTATCGTCTTGTCGTCGCCAGCGGTGTTGCCGGTGAAGGAGGCGTCGCTGATCGAGGAGGGCGTGTTTGAAAGGTACAGCACCGAGCCTGACCTGTCCGCTCTGTTGTCGATGAAAGCGATACCCGCGATGGAAAGGGAGATGCTGTTCAGCGCGCTGACGACGCCGCCGAACTGCAGTTGCGAGGAGAGGGCGGGGTGAGGCAGCCGTGGCCCTCTACATCTCTCGCCCCGCTGCCGTGCGGCGCTGCTGGAATGCGGCTAGCTTTACGCGGCGCACCTCGCCAGCCGAGCAGCCCGATACGTTCGAGCCGATTATCGAGACTGCACCGCTGCGATCAGACGCGTAGACGACGCCGCCCTCCTGCGGTTGCGAGGAGAGAGCGGGGTGTGAGGCAGCCGTGGCGCTCTCCACTGTCGCCTCGCTGCCGTGCGGCGCTGCTGGAGGGAGGCTAGCTCTACGCGGCGCACCCAGCCAGCAGAGCAGCTCGACACGTTCGAGCCGCTTATCGAGACCGCACCGCTTTCCCTCGCGTAGACAACGCCGCCGCGCTGCGGTTGCGAGGAGAGAGCGGGGTGAGGCAGCCGTGGCCCTCTCTATCTCTCGCCCCGCTGCCGTGCGGCGCTGCTGGAGGGAGGCTAGCTCTACGCGGCGCACCCAGCCAGCAGAGCAGCTCGTCAGATTCGAGCCGATGATCGAGACCGCACCGCTGCTAACCGCGTAGTACGGTTGGGCGTAGACAACGCCGCCGCGCTGCGGTTGCGAGGAGAGAGCGGGGTGAGTCAGCCGTGGCCCTCTCTATCTCTCGCCCCGCTGCCGTGCGGCGCTGCTGGAGTGCGGCTAGCTCTACACGGCGCACGTATTTAGCCGAGCAGTCTCTGACCGTCGAGTCGATGATCTCAACGTCGCCTGCGCCGTTCGCGTACACAGCGCCGCCCTGCGCCGCCCACCCGTTGACGAGGGTCAGCCCCCGCAGGGTGAGGCTGCAGCCGCCCGAAAGGGAAAAGAGCCCGGTCCATCCCTGGCCGTCGAGCGTCGCGCCCTCGCCGCTGCTCGCGACAGTCACCTTGATGCTGGAGGTACAGATGATCTGGCTGCCCAGCTTGAAGTCTGCCCTGGACGGCAGGTAGATTGCGACGTTGGCTTGCGAAGTAGCAGCCTCCGTGATCAGGGAGCGGAGCTTAGCCTCGCTCGACGCGGCGACGAAGCCGGTGGGGAGCGGCGGTAGAGGCGGGGGTGGGGGCGGAGAGGGCGACGGTGCATACGCCAGCGGGAGCAGTGCGACGAGAATCAGCCACGCGCCGCGCCTCGACCCCGTCCGGCACCGCACGAGGCGCTTGGAGGTGCTCCTCCGCACCGAGAGCAGCACGCCGCACCAGCACGCTCCAAGCAGCAAGAACAAGGCGGCCAAAAGCTGACCGCGCTGCCGGGCGCGGCCAGGCGCGGAAGAAGAGGTTCCGCTCGTGGAGGGAAAGTGGAACGGGGAGGGCAGCTCGATGGAGCGCACGTCGGCCGGTGGGTCCGCGGGCGGCTTGTCGGTCTTGTTAAGCTCGTCGGTGAGCGCGTGGCGAGGCTCCACGTGCCACGCAGGGGCGGCGCAGTGCGGCTGCCAGTCGGCGCACACACTTGAGACCGAGAAGATATCTGACTCGACCGCGTTCGAGTCGGAACTCTGAGCGGCACGGACCTCTGCAGGCCACGCCGGCTCCTCAAGCGTGGCCGCGAGAAGAGGTTCGATGGCCCGGCAACGCTGGAGGAAGAGGTCCTTGGTTGGGACTCGAGAAGCGTCCGTCAATCTGTCGTTCGCCCGCCACTCGCCACCGGCGTGCATGCTAGCGACGGGCGCGCCGAGGCCAGTCTCGACCAGCTTCCGCACCTCCAGCATCCCAGGCTTCCCAGCGTCGGCGGGCCGCAACTCGGGCGACGTGTCGTTCACGGGCAAGACGGTGTCGCGTCCCCGAGCGATGATCCCCGTCCTGTTGCTGTAGACGGGACCGACGAGGTCGATCTCAGGCTCGCCCTTGCGCTCCATGCTGTTGCGCGAGGCCGGGGCGGTCTCCAAGTCGGCCTCGGCCTCGCAAACAGGCAATCGTTCCGTCAGCGGGTTACAAAGCTCGCACACACAAAAAGCCAGAGGGGCGCTCACCGGCTGCTTCTCGTAAATTTCCTTGACGGACGCCAGCGGCTCGCCAATTAGGTGCAACGGCTCGCCCACTGCCTCGCCGATCTCGTCCATCAGTGCTTCCCACGAGCGCCCCTCGTCGCGTCCGCCCTGATCAGCGCGCGGGCTGTTAGTCACGAGCTGGCGCGGTGGGGATACTAGCACGCGCGAGCGAGCACGCACCGGGTGGTCGGCAGGCACGCTTTCCGACGACACGATGGCTACAAACGAGCTGGTGTCGATGCCGCCAACCTCGCAGAAGCCGTTGGGCGATGCCGGCGTGAACGGCTTTGCGACGGTCGCGAGAGGCGCGGCGGTGGCAGAGTACGAGGAGTGCGCAAACGCGGCTCCGAGGCAGATCAGCGCCAGGCTGGCAAAGAGGCGGAGCAAGTTGTAGGACGGGCAGAGCTTGGGCCACGAGAACCGGCCGGAGGCAGAGACGGAGCTGTCCAGCGTGGGAACTGTGGCCGTCTCGACCATGCCCTGAACAGGAGGGCGCGAGACTGGCCGTGTGCGCGGCAAACGGGGGCGGAGGCCGCATATGTGTGCAGGCGGCGCGCACCGAGTCCGTGGTCGGCGGCGTGGAGCCGCGGGGCGGCCGCGCCTTGTGGGCCACCTTGCCGCCGCCACCGACGTCCTCGTTGCCGTTCGTTCCGAGCAGGGCCCCGAACCGGTTCTTGCCGCCGACCCAGAAGACGCTCTCGACGCGGCCGACCCGGGCGGACGAGCCCTTGCGCGCCTTCTTGCGGCGCAGTTTCGACGGGTTGGTCCAGCCGGAGATGCCCTGCGCACGCGCAAGCGGTGGGTGCGTCGAATAGTTGAGGCTCTGCGCGTGCACCGAAGCGTGCGAGGCGATCGGCGCCGTGGCGGGCTTCACCCCCGGAGACTCCTTGGCCGAGACGGTCCGGTCGGCGTCGCCCTACGCAATGAAAGAGGTGGGGGGTCAAGGGGTGGGTCGGCAGACGCACGGCGCAGAATGCATCCAAGGTGCGCGCCGCCGGGAACTCCTTCATCGACGGCAGCGGCGCGTCGCCGGCCGCCGCCGGCTCGAGAGCCGGATCTTCTTTGGTGACGCCGCTGGGGGCCGTCGGTGGGTCGATCGGGGTGGTGCTCTTGGAGCAGTCGACCAGGTTGGGCTCGCCCTTGCAACCGGTCTTCCACTCGTCGATGCCCTGCGCATGTGCGAGAGGCAAAGGGCCGATAGGAGAACCGCCCGTGGGATTCCCGCTACACCCGTGAGGTGTGTGCACGCGCTGAGAGAAACTCACCGCCGTGGCGAGCTTCTTCTCTGGAGACTCCTTGGCCTCACCCTCGCGCCCGTTGTTGCGGCGCGGGTTCGACGGGGTCGTCCAGTCGGCGAAAGCGCTCGGCTCGTGGGCGGCAGACACGGCCTTGGCAGAGTCGAACGCGGTCAGGTCCTTCTTGGGGACCTCCTTGAGGGAGGCCTCCGCGCCAGACTCTGCCACGGGGATGTCCTTCGCGAGGGCTACCTTGGTGCCGCACGCCTGTGGCCGAGGGAGCTACGCAGGTGTTTGGCGGATTATGTTGATCCGGGCGAGCGCACGCACCTCATCTTCGAGGAGCACGGGAGCCATCGGCGCAGACTCGCCCTCGGACGCGACGGGCGTCCCGCCGCCGTCGCCGATGACGTCCTTGAGCGACGCGGGCCCGCTCTCGGACGAGATGCCGTCGGCCTTGCCTCCGGCAGCGTCGATGACGGACGAGAGCGGCGACGGATCGGCGATGGAGTACGTGAGGCGCCGCGAGTCGGCGCAGGAGTCGAGCGAAGCGCGTGCCGACGACGCAAGCACGACGCCGACGTCCTCAAGCGAAGCGGGCTGCTTGCTCTCGGACTGGAGCGAAGCGGGCTCGCCCTTGGGCTGGATGCCGTCCTCGAGCGAAGCGGGCTCGCCCTTGGACTGGATGCTGGCGGCCTTGGCTCCGACAGCGGTCGTGTTGCCCGCCAGCGACGCCTGTGACAGCCAGAGGGCGAGAGGATAAGTCAAGGTCTCGTGGGAGCGCAGTTTCACTGCGCGCAAACACGCGCCTGCTTGTCGGCACGCGGCGGCGGCGGAGGTGGAGAGATCTTGATAGCGAGCCGATTACCGTCGGCCGGCACGAACTCGAGTTTGAGCTTGTCGAGCATAGGCGGTCGAATGAGTTCCTATGGAGGAAAGTTGTAAGACGGGAAAGTGAGGAACGAGTCGATGGGATCACGGCCATGTGAACGAGGGTCAAAAAACACTGTGGAGATGATTGGGGGTATATTGGTACATGGACATGGGGTGTGTATGAGGCTGTGCACAAAAATAGTGCTGCTCAAGGGCATGCTGAATGGGAAGAGAGAGCGAGCCGGAGAGGGGAGAGCCGCGCCTACGGGCAACACGTCGCGGCGTGAGCGTCGAGACGAGGCCGCCGGCACGCTCTCTCGCGTCCTCGGCGCGCGGACTGGAGCAAGCGAGAGCGGGTCGCTCTCTTGCCAGAAGAGAGGGAGGTGCGGTCGCGCGGGACAAGGGTGGGGAATGGGCAGCAGCGGACGCGTCTCGCGACCTCCTCGATGGCAGCGGCTGTACCTGCGAGCGGGAGTAGGCAGGCGGTGCGAGGCCGAGGGGGGTCAGCCGCTCGCGCGGCGATCGAGGGCGCATCGCGTGGTGGGGGTGGTGAGGAGGTGCGGCGGATTCCGTGAGCAATAGGCGGCGCGGGGGTCTAGGCGTGCAGCTCGCGGCGGCATAGTCGGGCGCAATGCGGCGCGGCAAGCGCGAGCGGACGAGGAGAGTGCCAGCTTGCCTTACGACTCGCTCTCCGCGTAGAGCGTTTTGACGCAGAGAGTCACCGTTCACAGTTGTGGCTGTGAATTGACCCTTGGGTCGGGTTGTTGCTGTACCCTGTGTCCCTTGGCTTGCCTGGTGTGGATGTCTAAGGCCGTTCCGTCTTGCGCCGTTGCGGCAGTGGCGTCGCGCTCTCGCTGCCTCCCCCCGCACCCCCCCCCCCCCTCCAGCAACCGCCCCCATCGCACTACGTGCGATTGGGTGTTGCTGTGGGCAAGGTAGTACCGTGGGCGCGCCCTCGCAGCCCACCGTCCCGTGCCCCTCTCGTCTTCCTTCTCACCTTCCCCGCCCTCTGCGCCCCCTCCTCCGCCGTTCCTCCCCGTCATCGTGCCCCGCAGCATTGCAGCCAGTCTAAGAGCCTGATCCCGCGTCCACTCGTCCCCCGCATCGCCCGCTCTTCCTCCCTCGCCGCCTCCCTCAGTCCGCCGCGTCCTCTGCCCGGCCCGTCGCGTCTTTCGCACCGCCTTCTCCGTCCTAGTGCTTATGCCCACGTCTCCCCCCTCCGCCGCTACCACTGCTACTACCTCTGTGTGGCAGTCGCTACATGGCACGCCTGTGTCTCGGCCGCCTCCATCGCCGTCGCTCCATCCTCCTCTTCGTACGCGAGCAGATCGCGATTCTCATGGAGCATCTCCTCCATACTCTTGCGCCCCTCCTGCCCGTGTTGCGCGCACTCCAGCCACACGGGGGAATGTCGATACAAATTGTTAGTTTGGCTCTCGGATACTATCTCGTATCTGTTGCAGTGTACATTTAGTCTGTCCTTTGGGTTGTTTGCATGTTTGGGTGTTTTGGTTCTGGTGTTCGCAACCCGTGACGAAAAACGGACGCACACCAAGCGCTAAGCGTGAGGACGCGATTTCGAATTCGGAGGTGCATCTGAGCAAAAATTGGGCCCGCTCAGGTGTGAAAAAAATTATAAGGGTCATAGTCGCCGATTCGATCCGGAAGCCACTCGACCATCGAGAGGCCGACGGCCGAAGTCGGCAAACGTAGATCAGAGGAGGAGAGAGGAGAGAGGAGGAGGGGGAGAGGAGAGAAGAGGGGGGGGGGGTGAGAGGGAGGGAGGGAGGGAGAGAGAGAGGGAGGAGAGAGAGAGAGGAGAGCCTTTGAGCCTTGGCACCAGCCAGGCAGTTGATTTGGCCCTGGCACCAGCCTTGGCAGTTGAGTTGGCCTTGGCACCAGCCTTGGCGGGCGGGCACGCGGGACATGCACAGGCGCCAAGGGGCGCAGCGCCGACAAGCACGGCGGTGATTGCGGCGCAGGTGGGGGGACGGGAAGTCCGTCGGCGTTGCCGGGGGCCCAAGGAAGCGCGAGGGAAAAATTCCGCCGCTGAGGGCGCTCGTGCGGCAATAGCCGAGTGGAGGGGGGAGCGTGCCGGACGGGGCGTCGTCGCGCCGTCCGATGGTCTGCTGCCCCGCGCAGCAACCGTCGGGCGACGACCCGGGGGCCAAAAACCCGGCGACGACGGCGCTCTGGATGGGGCGTGACCTCCTGCCTCCAACCTCCTTCCTTTTTGAGCAGGTGTGACGCCGCGCGAGCGACGCTCCGAGATCGCCCGAGATAGCGCGGCGCGGCCCGAGATCGCCCGAGATAGCGCGAGATCGCCCGAGATTGCGCGGCGCGGCCCGAGGCGAGGTGGGTGGGTTGGGAGCGAGGGGGCGGAAGTGACCAGTGCGGTAGATCGGTCAGCTCGAGGCGCGTGAGCCGGACTTGTGAGCCGGACCACCCCCTCTTGAAACCTGCGTTGTTGAGCCAGGACTCAACATACTCGGGCTGTCGCCGTCCCAAACTGTCACTCCCCTTTCTCCCGGCCGGGGTGGGGCGATGTCTGTGGGCCCGAGAGCGATATGCCATGTCCCGCCTTGCTTTGTTTCCGTCATCGAAGGCTAAGCTCAAAAAAAATGCCTCAAGGCGCTCTACCCAACCGACCGCGTGAGATACGGTGCTGACCTTTCTCTCCGAGGCTCGCCGTGGCCCCACACGGCGGCCTCTGCTCGCGTTTTCGAGCCAGGACCTTCGTCCGGGCCCACGGCCGGCACGCCATCATCGATTCCGCGCGCTCGGCCTCCACCGGCTTGCTGTGCGGACGGCTTCTTGTGGCTCTCGTCGAGAGCGTTTTGGCGGCCCGCCGGGTGAGAGAATATGTGTCGTCTGATGTGTCACTGTGTACGTCATATCAGTCTTGATAACAAGCACGGTCGATCCGTCAAAGCGATACACTCGTTCCTATCTCGCTGGACGGCTTGCACGGAGCTCTGTGCCGGCACACAGGAAGAGCCGTGCGGCAAGAAGAGCTCGATGGGGAGCGAGAACCGTCAAAGGTGCTCACGCAGGTTTCGGACGTCCGTCATGGTGCGGTCAGTTCCCCCCAGGTTTGACCGCGCAGGTCTCAAAACTCGTCGAGCACTCGTAGCCTTTCTGCGACTCTCTGCGTGCTGCCGGCTCGGGAAGAGCAGATTTTGCAAGATATCTCAACGAGATCCGACATCTGCGCGGTCATTTTTGGAGTGATCTTACCGCGTCATGACGGAGTCTTGATAACTCTCGGAGCACCTCTAACGGTTCTCGCTCCCTGTCGAGCTCTTCTTGCCGGACGGCTCTTCCTGTTTTGCGGGGTGCGCTGAGCTTCGTGTCAAGCTCCGAGGGCAACGGAAACGAGTGCATCGCTTCGATAGACCGACCGTGCTTGTTACCAAGACCGATCTCACGTACACAGTTACACTCAAGACGTTCTTGACGCTGTCGTTAGCCAGCCGCTCTTGCGGCAGCCGGCAGCGGAGACTGAGCGCGTCGGGCGAGTGGAAATCGAGATGGCGTGCCGGTCATGGGCCCGGACGAAGGCGCCGCCGGCTCGGATGAGTCCAGTGGCATCAGGGGCGCCTCCAGCACCCAAGACAGTAGCACGCTGTTTCTGTCTTGGCCGCCACTGACGCGAAAATCGGCATTTTTTTTACAGTGTTACCAGAAAAGGAAAAAAAAAGAACGGCGCCGCAGGCGCCGGCCGGAGGCCGGGAAGAGATGGGAAGGGAAAAGGAAGGAACAGGGAGGAAGAAGGAAGGTCTAGATAACCAGTCGGAGCCCCGCGGCGGCGAGATGCGCGGTTGCGCGCTCCGGGTCGCTACGTCGCTTGCGATGGATTACCAGCTCACCAGCTCGCCTTCTCTGTCGCTCTCCTGGCCTAGGCCCATCAGGAGCAAGCCTGAGCTGTCCCAGACCGCACTTATCTCGGGTCTTCAAGCGCACACCGGCTCGTGATGCTCCGCGGTGTAGGGCTCGAGAGCACTCCCGGTGGCCCCGTACCGAGCGATTGCGAGGGCTTTACGGAGGTCAATATCGGCGCCACCGACCGTGAAATGTCCCGACCCACAGCCCTCATGCACCAGACGCATGGATGCAGTCATAATATGTAGGCCTTGTCTCCCGAAGTTTTGAGCAATAGCCGCAAATAGTACTTTTCGGCAGTTCATCACGACACGTCCAGGTGCCGCCAATGCAGTCCTTGGTATCATCGCAGTACCCGCCCGCGTCACACCTGTCGCATGAGGTTTGCCCACGCTCTGGCTGGAATCGGCCGGGGGGGCACTGTGTGCACTCGGTCCGACGCGTCTCATGTTGGTATCGGCCCGCAGGACACTCGAGCGCTTGAACGGTGCCTTCGTCCGGGCAGAAGCTTCCCGAGGGGCAAGCCGTACAGCTTGTCGCGTTGAGCAGGTTCGCGAATGTGCCGGCCGGACAGGCGTCACAGCTGTCCGCACCAGGATTGG